TATGGGCTGTATAGCGTGAGCGTGGTGGGGTTCGAAAACGAATTCGAGACACACATCTCTAGAGGTGCGTGGCACCACGTGCGCGGTCGATAGAAGGGGGAGGGGAACACTCTGGAGACGTAGGGTAATGTACGCGGAACATGGAAGACACGTACGCTCTCATTGTACGCACCGATGCACGATGTCGAGATAGAAGAAGAAGAAGGTTCGCGTTTTATCATCGCGCGGTGTTTCGTACAGATACACACACACACACACACACTCACACACACACACACACACACACACACACACACACACACACACACACACACACACACACACACACACACACACACACACACACACACACACACACACACACACACACGACACACACACACACCGACACACACCACACACACACACACACACACAACACACACACACACACACACACACACACACACACACACACACACCACAACACACAACACACACGCACACGCACACACACCACACACACACACACAACACACACACACACACACACACACACACACCACACACACACACACACACACACACACACCACACACCACACACCACACACAACACACACACACACCACACAACACCACCACACCACACCACACACACACACACACACACACCACACACACCAAACACACACACAACATACAATACACCACACACACACACTCACACACACACACACACCCACACACACACCAACATACACACCACACACCCAACACACACACACACACACACACACACACACAGCACACACACAGCACACCACACACACACAGCACACCACACACACACACACCATCACACACACGACACTACACACACACACTTACACCACACACACACACCACATACTATACACACACACACACACACACACCACACACACACACTCCACATACATACACCACCACACACCACACACACACACACACCACCCACACACACCACACATACACACCACACAACACACACACACACACACCACCACACACACACACACACACGCACTCACACACACACACACACAAACACACACACACACACACACACCATACACATACACACACAGACAACACACACACACAACACACCACACACGCCACCACACCACACGCCACACACGCACACCACACGCACGCAACACGCACACACACCCCATCACACCAGGCGGCGCGCGCACACATGCACACACCCAACACACAGCAAACAAACAAACACACGCACGCACACAGAGCACATGACCCGCCCGACGTCTCTACACGTCACTCACGCGCCGCTAGGGTAAATGAAAACCTCCATTACACTGAATGGGACGTTGGAAACACCATGAACGCAGATTTTGCCCCATCGATTTGCCCTTGCCTCTGCCGCTAAAAACAGGTTTTGCATAATGTTGGCTTCGTATACGCACGCGTTGTGTGATAATCCCATATTAAACGGCAACAGTACGGCACATAGCGGACGCACAAACAGTTATAGCGGTATTATATCCACGTGCTTCCTGCTTGCGTGCACGCGCCAACAATCTGAGTGACGTTCTAGAACTGGCCGGTTAAATCTATTATTAACGCTGGTCATGCCCTTACTAAAAATTTAGCCGCTCAGTTAAAACAACCGAGCACGTCAACCGGCTCGGCCGCGCTCCTTCAGAATTCAGGTTTATCTATACCGACTCGTCTTACGTTATCAACGCTGTCCCCGAGCCTCGACCTCTTCTACTCAGCCGTGATTACGTGGGGCATTATTGGTCTTTAGGAAGCTGCTCACTATATGTCCATTCAAATACACTGACATTGCCTGTCGGCAATTACTGCCGCCCCGATGCGCCGTAGAAACAGTGACAAGGACCGCTACATGTGCATGCCTCGCCGCATGTCGCTGTGAAGGCGACGGCACCGAAACGGGTGTGCGTGAGGGATTGAGTGTACGCACGCACTGGGTTTGTTGTCGCACGGGGACCTGTGCGAAGCGCGATAACATACTGAGCGAGACGAGCGGGGGCTGCCTTCCTAGGCCACAGCCGACTGGTACCGAGTGATAGCTCAATCGCAAACAGGACTTTCCTAAGCGATATGGTGCTCGCGCCCTTTACCAGCGTTACTTCTTTCTTTCTAGCTCCTTAAGCGATGGATATTAACTCGCCCGACAAGCACTCCGTATTTTTTTTAGAGACAATTTTCTACACGACACGATATCATATATAACTATAGCCTGCTGGGTGGTACCCGCTTGCGCTGAGCTCGGTCCATCTGGTAAAATCGTGCTAACTAATCATGACTAACTAAGACTGGCCCACACGAATAGGAACATTGGATAAAAAATCGACGCAAGTAATCATTGCACACAATCATTTGAATATTATAGAAATCACCGCTAATAAGACATAATAAGATGGGAAAAACTGTTACGTCATGACACTTATAATGACCAGCACAACCCAACCTCTAGAAACCCCTGCCCATGCGACGATAATAGTAATATGTGTAAATGACAAAAATTATTTTTTTTTATAACAGCATGTACGAGACTCAGTGACAACCGGGTCCTCTTTGGATACAACACATGTTTTTCGTTAGTTATCTCTCTGGTGGAAATATGTAATAGATTCCTGGCGCTCTCGAACTGTTGAGCGCTCCTTCCCACGTACGCAGTAGGCACGTTATAGGCACGTATGTCACGTAACCAGCATGTACGAATGGTCGGGTTTGCGTTGGTCAGTTCAAAGCCTGTTGGGATAAACACAATGCGAGTCGTAACCTCTGAACTGCGACTGTGCTCTGTTTTCTAGCTCGGTCGCTCGGTTTCGGTCTTCACCAATACCAATACCAGATTTTTCTCTGTGTGGCCCAGCACTGTTACAAGTCGAGTGGCTACATTTGGGTTGTTGAAGATTCACGAATTTGAGGTGGATTTTTCCACGGAGGTTTTCGGGTCGGAGTTGACGGTTTGGCAGATTTTTTTCCACGCTAGGAACACTCCCCCGCGGTATAAGAGATGGCCCTGTCTGAAAATTGCAATCCAGATCGCGTTGGGGCGGTTTGGCCGCCTATAGCGGAAGCATACATAGCATATCATACATAGAGACATACGAAACTCAAATATATATTAGATACATAAATATATACATTATTCGGTTTGGATGCGGCCACAATCTTTAGTTTTATTATTTTTTAGATTTATAATTATTAGATAACTATAATAAATTTTTAGGCTACATCCTATTTCTGGCATGAGGATTTCTGAAATACCTGTGCACGAGAATGATAATAACCTCCTCACTGTTATTAAGAGAAAATACCTGGAGCCTACAGATTACTTTTCCTAGGCGTTTCGCCGACATCTGACAATGGTCCCTTTAATTAACAAGCTCCATGCACTAATGACTAACTGAGGTTGCCGACAGCGAATGGGCCGGCTTGCTGAACTGAAGTTCATGATAGTCTTACGCAGCCGTATTAGTGCTGTGACAAGGTGCAACACTGCTCACACGCGACGCCAGCTCTCTATCTTCCTTTCCATCCTCTCTCCGTTTTCTCTTTCCTTTCTCTTTGCGCTCTAGTCGCCTAATATCTCTCTTTCACTCTCTCGCTTTCTCATCTATCTTTCTATTCTGCTCTTGTTTCTCGCGGCTTTTCTCTCATACGATATCCCCCCTACTCTTCCTACTCTTCTCTCTCTAACCTCTCTCTCTTTTCTGCTATCTCTCTTCTTTCTCTCTCTCTTCTAATCTTATCTCTCTCTCTCTCTCTCCTCGGGCTCTCTTCTGGTCTCATTCCTCTCTCTCTCTCTCTCTCTCTCTCTCTCTTCCTCTCTTTCTCTCTCTTAGTGTCTCCCCCGCCTCTAATCATTCTATCTAATTCTATCTCCCGGCTTTCTCGCTATCTATCTCTTTCTATCTTGCTTTTTCTCTCTCTCTCCTTCGCCCGTCTCTCTTGCACTCTTTCACTCTCTCTCATTTTCCCATATCATCTCTCTTCTCTGCTCTCTCTCTCTCTCTCTCTCTCTCTCTCTCTCTCTTTCTCTCTCTCTTTGTACTTCGGCCGCCCTATCTTTCCCACGCCTCCCTCTACTACTGTGATAGTTTACTGCCAAGCCACAGTGTATGAATGTACGATTTCGTCAAATCAGTCCAACCCTGTGCTAGGTTTGCAAACTAACCACTAAACTTTTCACAAAACCACATTATTAAGATCACAAAACTTCACCATACAAATGCGTAAACAGCAGTCTCAAAACAAGATCTCTCAGAAACACTAGATTTCAATTTCACCAACACAAACGGTGATGCTCGTCGTCCTGACTGGCAGGCGGTCTTACACCGGCCCGAAGAAGATTGTGCATTAATCGATTTGAGCAGCTTCGCTGCTGTTAATCACCACCCTAGTCCGTAAGGATGCGGGGCAATTGTTATGTGTGCTGCTGTGCCGTGCCCCCGTGTTAAGCGGTGCGTGACGTGCAGTCGCGTGGCACCTGTGCGGTGCGTGCGTGTCGTGCGTGCGTGCGTGCGTGTGTGCGTCCGTGTGTCCTGAGCCCGGTCGGTGTGGCGTGTGTGCAGTGTGGCTGTTGTGTGTGTATGTGTGTGTGCCTCCGCCACTGTGGTGTGTGTGCCCCCACCGCGGGGGCGGTGTGTGTGTGGATGGTCGATCCCGCATGATGTGTGTGTGTGGCGGCGCACTACGGGTGTCGGGGTGTTGTGTTGTGTGCATGATGTGTGTGCGTGGGCTGGGGGCTTAATTTAAGCGCGCACTTATGTACATACATATGTA